ATTTGAAGCAGATATGAAGTTCAGAGTTGATCCCAGCTAAGAACAGTCGATGAAGTACCCTCTGGTATTCACACAGGGGCAACGGCAAATTCACCCCATTCTGGACGTTTTTCCCATGAAGACATCCGTTTTGTTTGGGAAATACTGGAGGGTGGCCAAAACTCAGGGGAAACTGTGGGCTTTTTGGAAACTCATAGCATCTCCCGAAAAGATGCCTGGGAGTTGGAAATTTGATCTGAAATTATGACAAGAATGTCAACTTTACACCATTCTGGACATTATGAAGTCACGCCCAAAAATAACCTCTGCCCAATTGGGGTTTATGAAATTGGGCAGCGGCATACGGCTGATTTGTTGGGTGATGTTTATTACGATCTCGATTGTTGGGATGGTTGGGATCCATATCCGGTTAAGCACGTCAGACACAGATGAATGTCAATTGAGGATTTTCCATTGCCAGCTTGGTTTGCCAAAGGGTAGATCCATAGCTTTACCCTGGTATTTCAGGATGACACTGCAATATGCCCACTTTCATGAGGGATGACACTGGGGCAAGGAGACGCAAGTTGGCAAGAGGCAATCCTCAACCTCTGCCCCGCGGAAAGACTTCACGAAAAACACCGTGGGGATATGTGGGGGCTATTCCGGGAAGAACCGATCCCGGGAAGGACAACCGATGAATTATAGAATATTTTTATGATTATAGTGACATAGTAACTCTAAATGCCTGACATTCTAACGTAGATTTTGCACTTGAAACTGTTTGTCACCCCTTCTGGTTCGCATAGTTCCTTGAACCCACCGATCCAAGTGAGGGGCTATCCCAAGCCAAGGCCAATCTGCTCACAGGTGGGACTGGGGTGATCTATCAAAGCCTTCCTAATTTGGATGTGAAATCGATGTTTTTGGGTTTTTATCTTCAACTAACCCCCGTGAATAAACTCCAATTTTCAAAGTTGATCTACCCTTTGGTAAATTAACGTAGACCCTGGCAGATAGGGGTTGGAAGATTAGTTTCCATTAAAACTAGGCTATTTTCAGGATCTATGTTAATTTACCAGGGGGTATATATTCCCAAGATCAGTTCAGTGGAAGAATTGCAGCAAGTCTCCATGCAAATTGGTGATATCCTGCACCACTCAACATGGATGGAGATTTTCTGACCATCAGTATCCCAATGTGTAGCAAAATCATTTTTTTTATCTTCCTAATTTCCAATATTTAAGATCTTTTCTTTGATGGAATGTATGTATGATATGTATGCAATGTATCTATCTAATATGATGTATAGTATGTGTGTCACACACATATATTATATATATATATATGTATGTATGTATGTATGTATGTAATGTAATGTAATGTAATGTAATGTATTGTAATGTAATGTAACGTAATGTTATGTTATGTTATGTTATGTTATGTATGTATGTATGTATGTATGTATTAATGTAATGTATGTATGTATGTAATGTAATGTAATGTAATGTAATGTAATGTATAATGTAATGTATAATGTAATGTGTAATGTAATGTAATGTAATGTGTAATGTAATGTAATGTAATGTAATGTAATGTAATGTAATGTATGTAATGTATGTAATGGTATGTATGTATGTATGTATGTATGTTATGTTATGGTATGTTATGTTATGTTATGTTATGTATGTATGTATGTATGTATGTATGCATGGTAATGTATGGTAATGTATGGTAATGTATGGTAATGTATGGTAATGTAATGTAATGTAATGTAATGTAATGTAATGTATGTATGTATATATATATGTACAGTATTCACATATAGTAAATACCAACCCCACAAATGGTGTTTTTGTGCCAGGCCAGGCCAGTTTGCGGAACAGGTCAACTAGGCCACGAAGGGTGGAGGTTTATCCACTTTTTGAACTGAAAGTTTCAACGTGTTTCTCTTTTTGAAATTAGAGTTGAAGCAAGAAACTATGTTTTCACCATTTCCAGCAGTTTTGGAATGAGATCTGTTCATGTTCCGTGCTTTTAAAGCGATGTTTGGAATGATGATGCCAAACAAATATGATTGGCATTATTTTGGTGGATTGAACGTGAATGACACACATTGGTCTGTGTCAAAATAGGGTGCACCCAATTTCAATGGATTACCATCATGTTCATTCATTTTCCCCTTAAAGTCAACATGTGAGGGGGCATACGTTATTTTAAGACACACCCAAAATTATCCGATATCATATCAACATTTCATAAAAATATCAGAGTGAAATGTTATCATCCATAAAAAATAGTGTAATTTCCCGAATGCGTAGCGAAGGGTTCCCTTATATAGTCTGGGAGTCTGGGGGCTGGACCCTTGTTCGCCTCGAGTGGCTCGTCGGGTCGCCGTCGCGTCGTCGTCGTCGCGTCGTCGTCGCGTCGTTCATTCCGTGTCTATGGGGGAAGCTGCAAAACCTCTCCTTTTCGAAGGTTTCCAAGCAGGTTGTCATGTCGTTTTGCGTGGCAGGCGTGGCACTGTGTGACATTCCAGCTTGTTTGATAATGTGTCGAAAGCGTCAAAATTGGAGGAAGTCTCGCACGAAATGCTCGTTTTGCCGCGCCCACGTCTCTCGTCTCGAGTCTCTGGTTTTCTAGACAGGTCGCCGTGTCTATGGGGGAAGCTGCAAAACCTCTCCTTTTCGAAGGTTTCCAAGCAGGTTGTCATGTCGTTTTGCGTGCCAGGCGTGGCACTTTGTGACATTCCAGCTTGTTTGATAATGTGTCGAAAGCGTCAAAATTGGAGGAAGTCTCGCACGAAATGCTCGTTTTGCCGCGCCCACGTCTCTCGTCTCGAGTCCCTGGTTTTTTAGACAGGTCGCCGTGTCTATGGGGGAAGCTGCAAAACCTCTCCTTTTCGAAGGTTTCCAAGCAGGTTGTCATGTCGTTTTGCGTGGCAGGCGTGGCACTTTGTGACATTCCAACCTGTTTTATACCGTGTCAAAATTTCTTTTGTGTGG